GCAGAGTTGCTCTGCCCCGGGCTTCCTGGAATCAGCTGCTGATCAGTTTCAGCAGCAGCTGACTTGGGGACGCTTGGGGTTCTTAAGTTGATTCTGTATGTAAGTCAGAACTGGCGGTCAGTTTCAGCAGCGGCTGAATCTGGACGCCAGTTCCGACTTACATACAGATTCAACTTAAGAACAAACCTACAGTCCCTATCTTGTACGTAACCCGGGGACTGCCTGTATATTCCTTCTTAGAATCTTGTTTAAAGAAACAGAATGGTAACACTTTGTATTAAGGATATTTTTATAAATGGGCTGTTAATTCATAAATAATTATGTGATTAGTTATTACAATAGTTATAAAGAGCTTAATTATAAATACTATTGCACTTCTTGTCTCCTTCCTGTTTTTGTGGATTCACATCCCATTTCTTGTACCAACCATTATTACCTTGGGATCTATGCATGGACTTGGAACCCTGGAATTCCTCATTTCTAATTCCAGCTTGGCTACTTGTTCTTTCTATTGCTTTGGTCAAATCACATGAGCTTTTTAGCCTATTTGCCTACCTGTAAAATAACCACACCACACTGGACTATTGTGAGGATTCTAAGTGGTAGGTGTAATTCACTCTGAAGCTGAAAATGCTATATAAATTGTAAGTATTATTACTAATATAATTTTCTCTGTCTATAAATCACTGTAGAATATAATAATTACTTATATAACATTTTTCAAAATATGTAATGCTATAAAACCTGTAACTAAGTGCATTATAAACTATTTGGAGTATTGTTGTAGCCGTCTTTGTCTCAGGATATTATAAAAACAAGGTGGGCGAGGTAATAACATTTATTAGACCAAATGTTATGAACTAAAGGCTACAGGGTTATAGTAATCCATGTATTGGCTTAATACGTGACATGTTTACATTTTAGTACATTTATAAATGCTTTATTAGCATTTACAAATGAGATTTCTTAAGAAATAAGTTTAAGGGATAACTGGTAAGAGACCAATGACACAGCCATAACATGTCAATAAGTATTAAATACCAAAGAGATAGCATTAGACCCACCTGTAGCAAAGCATGTCACTACACTGTATTACCTGCAGTGTACAGGATAAATAACAAGCAACAGTTAATTCTAGAATCACAGTTCCAGCAAAAGGTTCTCTTGATGTTGCAAACCATGACCAAGTCCTCCAAACATCTCAGGAGAATCGTAAGTCTAGAATTTACAATTGACTATTCATAGTGTAATGTATTGATTGCTGTGAATACGCATTACTGCCCTTTATTGGCTGTGTGTCATAGACCCTTTGCTGTATTAGAATCATAGAATCATAGGGCTGGAAGAGACCTCAGGAGGTCATTGAGTCCTGCCCAAAACAGGACCAACTGCAACTAAATCATCCTGGCCAGGACTTTGTCAAGCTGGGACTTAAACATCTCTAGGAATGGAGATTCTACCACCAACCTAGGTAACTCATTCCAGTGCTTCCCCACACTCCTAGGGAAATGGTTTTTCCTAAGAGTCAACCTAGACCTCCCACACTGCTCCCAACGCAACTTGAGACCATTGCTCCTTGTTCTGTCACTAATGTGAACAGCTTCTCCCCATCCTTTTTGGACCCCCCCTTCAGGAAGTTGAAGGCTGCTATCAAATCCCCCTTCACTCTTCTCTTCTGCAGACTAAACAAGCCCAAGTCCTCGTAGGTCATGTGCTCCAGCCCCCTAATCATCTTCATTGCCCTCCGCTGGACCCCCTACAATGCATCCACATCTGTTCTGTAATGGGGGCCTCAGAACTGGAGACAATACTCCAGATGTGGCCTCATCAGTGCTGAATAAAGGGGAATAATCACTTCTCTAGATCTGCTAGAAATGCTCCTCCTAATGCACCCTAACAAGCCATTAGCCTTCTTGGCTACAAGGGGACCCTTTTGACTCCTATACAGCTTCTCAGCCACTGTAATCCTCAGGTCCTTTCCTCCTGAACGGCTGCTTAGCCAGTAGGTCCCCAGCCTGTAACAATGCTTGGGAGTCTTCCATCCCAAGTACAGAACTCTGCACTTGTCCTTATTGAACCTCATCAGATTTCTTTTGATCCAATCCTCCAATTTGTCTAGGTCACTCTGGACCCTATCCCTTCCCTCCAGCATATCTATCTCTCCCCCTAGCTTAGTGTCATCTGCAAAGCTGCTGAGGGTGTAATCCATCCCCTCAGCCAGGTCATTAATAAAGATGTCGAACAAAACCAACCATCCTTGGGGCACACTTCTTAACACTCACCACCAACCAGACATCGAGCCATTGATCACTACCTGCTGAGCCTGACAATCCAGCCAACTTTCTATCCACCTTACAGTGTAGATAGAGGCCTGCATTTTTTGAGCAGGGGGCTTGTACTGTGAAATTCCAAGTGGCTATGGTGTAATACCTAGGTAGCCATAGATTTGTTGCAGTTTTCTTGCTGTATATTCCATAGCATTCCATTTACAAACCTCACTGCACACAGTATGCAAGTTCAGCATGCTGGATAATGACCTAGCAATTCTCCTCTCTTTAGCGTCAATGGTAATTAGCTAAATCAAAGCCCATCAAGTTGCAAAGGTGATCTCACTAGTTTCTATTCCATCAGGTGACTTGGGTGATCATATAAACCCTGACAGCACAATTCCAGGGTGTTAGTCATAACAACAAATTTGTTAAAGTTTAGAAATGTCTTAATAAAAAGTGTTACCAAGACAATAATCATGTTACTGTGAAATGGGACCAACTAATGGGAAAATATTTGTTATTTTTTATGATAGATAAGTAAGGCTTTTTTTAACCTTAGAAGCTGCAGGTCTGGTTTTATTAGAGAACTTGGTGGTCTCAGGCATGAGTTGGAAACTTCCTCCCCCCTTAAAACTTTAAGTGTTTCTCATGTTTGAGTGAGTTAAAGAGAGGGAAAACCAGGGGAAAATAGGGTAGACAAGACCTCAATTTCTAATGTAAAATACAAGCAGAAAAGATTTTTTTTTAAATGCAGGCCTCTTTTATCCATCATAAATTAGCATCCTTCCCCCTCAACCCCTTCATTCCTTTGTAGGAATTGTAGCAAATTGACTACCTTCGTATAATGTAATTCAGGAGTTTGCCATTAGAGGGCACCAGCATTCCTGGTAAGCATTCCCTTTAAGGGAAGCTTCAGAGGGGAAGCCAAATTAGTCTGTAACAGGAAAAACTTAAAAAACAACAAATAGTCTAGTAGTACTTTAAAGACTAACAAAACATGTAGATGGTATCATGAGCTTTCGTGGGTCATCTTCCTTTAAAGCTCATTTGTACCATCTACATGTTTTGTTAGTCTTTAAAGTACTACTAGACTATTTGTTGTTTTTTAAGTTTTTCCTGTTTAAGGGAAGGATTGTCTAGGATAGGGTGGGCAATAAAACAGTGGTGGTTCACCAGAGTTAGCCCCTGGTGGGCTCCTGCCACTGTATTTACCTGGCCCTAGGCAGGTATGGGCAATCGCAGCTTCCATTTCTTAAGAAGAGATTTCTTAAGAAGTTTAAGGGATAACTGGTAAGAGACCAATGACACAGCCATAACATGTCAATAAGAATTAAATACCAAAGAGATAGCATTAGACCCACCTGTAGCAAAGCATGTCACTACACTGTATTACATGCAGTGTACAGGATAAATAACAAGCAACAGTTAATTCTAGAATCACAGTTCCAGCAAAAGGTTCTCTTGATGTTGCAAACCATGACCAAGTCCTCCAAACATCTCAGGAGAATCGTAAGTCTAGAATTTACAATTGACTATTCATAGTGTAATGTATTGATTGCTGTGAATACGCATTACTGCCCTTTATTGGCTGTGTGTCATAGACCCTTTGCTGTATTAGAATCATAGAATCATAGGGCTGGAAGAGACCTCAGGAGGTCATTGAGTCCTGCCCAAAACAGGACCAACTGTAACTAAATCATCCCGGCTTGGACTTTGTCAAGCTGGGACTTAAAAACCTCTAGGAATGGAGATTCCACCTCCTTAGGTAACTCATCCTAGTGCTTCCCCACACTCCTAGGGAAATGGTTTTTCCTAAGAGTCAACCTAGACCTCCCACACTGCCAATGAGGAGCTGTGATTCCCTGTGCTTGAGGAGGTGCAGGTAAATATAGCAGTGTGGGGGCCCACCAGGGGCTAACCCTAGCAGACCAGATCTGGCCCTTGGGCTGGTATTTGCTCACCCTGGTCTAGGACAAAAGTAATAGAAGAACTCAGAAAGTGTAACCACGGTTGAAGTATCACAGCACCTCCTTCGAGTAAAGCCTGAACACAGAACCATCCCGCTCAAGTTTCGTTTGTTCTATTACAACAGTTCTCCCGGGGGAGGTGAGTATGTGTGAGAGAGAATTAAGCTGCTTTTAGTGACATCCACTGCAGCTCCTGATCAGCCCTTTTAAATAGTTTAAGGAATGGACTTGCCTGTGAGGGAACTGTATATACTTGCATATAAGCTGAGACATTGGCAGGTCTTTATAACATAGCCGTAAGTCGGGGTGAATCGAGCAGGTCAATTACATGAAACAACTGTGGAAAGTAGGTGTTTCTAATTGAATTTGTTTTCATTGATCTCTCCCTGCCATTAACAAAATCATGACAGCAAGATGCAGTTATGTGTAGGTCAGCACAATTTATAAATGGACAGTTCTGTTACTTATTTATGCTCATGCCTCTTGACACAGAGGAGCGCAAAAGAGCCTGCACGTAAATGAGCATGAAAACCATCATGTTTATGTTAGCTGTAGGGTCTCTCACACACCAGATCAGCTTACGTGTGTATATACAGTATGTCTGTTATCCTTCACGGAGGCCGGTGTCTAGTTTTGTTTCATGATTATGATCATTTTTAAATCTCTACAAAACTGACCGTGTCGGCTCCAACAAGAGGTAGAACTCCAGGACCTGTCCAGGAAATCTAGTACACTCAGACAGGGGTTAGGCCAGGAGAGTGGAACTAACCCTAGAATTTCAGGATCATTTTGCTTTAATCCTAGGGCCAAATTGCCAGCTAATGGGAAAAATCAATTTAAAAGAAAAAATAAACATTATACAGCTAATGGCCAAATCTGGAGGTCTTGAAATGGAAAGACAGGGCTACTGATGCAAACACATGTCAGAATGGACACTCACATGCCAATCAAGGCCACCCTCAGACATGCACTCACGCTGTTGAGATATTTTTAAATATGGTTCTGAGCCTGTAGAAACACAACACAGGAAGGAAACAGGGAAGGGTGGACTAGTGGGTGTGGGGTTTGTGTGTGTTTGGAGGGGTGGTTTTGAACATCTGGAAATATTGTCCTGAAGTAAAAAAAAAATCCATTTCAGAAATGCCTCTGGCTGCCAGGTAGCTCCATATCCAATGGGCAAAAGGAGAGAGGATTTGGCTTCTTAGAGGCCATGCTACTCTCCTGGCATGAGGGGGAAGTGCCTGTTGATTGAAGGCTCACTGGGTCTTGGCATCCCTCTTGGCAGTTGAAGACACCTCTGGTTACCCAGGCAGCAGGGGATGCCACACCACACGTTGGAGTGGCAGTTGGCATTTCAGATGGCTCTCCATACAAATCTGCCACTTGTCAAGACTAGGAGAGACTTTCCTCAGAGATAACTTCCAGGGCTTGGTCAGCAAGGGCAATGGAAGCTGTATGCACACACCAGACAGTGTGATCATCAACGTTCCCTCTAAGTTTTTCCAGCTGTGTACAGAATACATTTTATGCGCACCAAGGCACGTGCAGATATGCACCAATGTGGTCAGCTGTGGGCGCTCTGCAAAACATCTGAGTGGCACCTGAATCTCTCCTCGGCTGACACCCAACTGCTCAGCTTATAGGGAACACTGGTGATTATCCCCTGAGCGTGATCTTCCTTTCTCCTTGCTAAGGAAGGATAAGTTGCAGGTGACACTGTGGGACGGATGCCTGGAAAGGAGAGATCTCTGAGGAGATGGACTTGGAGAGACAGATGTGGTGGGATGTGTATGGAGACAGAGACGCCTTGTGAAGAGAGATGTGGTAGGACGGAGATTGACGCAGCAAGGCTCCTGCTGGTGGGACAGATGCACAAGCAGAAAGAAAACCATATGGGAGGAGAGCTGTAGGGCAGGCCGGGAAGACAGAGAAAGCTGGGATGGCGATGGCATGGACCCAGCATGGGATAGATGCATAAAGAGTTAGCTGCCTGGTGACATAGACTTGTGCAGAGCAGACGTGCTGTTCGTTGGGCACAGACAGACAAGTAAGCAGACCACAGATGGTTCAAGCTCTGGAAAAGGGCCAGGTTGGGGCCAAAGCACCTGTTCTTGAGCAGGGTAATGGGAAGATGGAGCAGGCTGAACAGAGAGGAGCAGCCACAAAGCAGGGAGCAAATAAATTGCCATGGAGAACAAAGAAAGAGCAGTGAGATAAGGGCCTGCCAGGGGTGACTGGTGCGGAACACAGATGTGGCCACACAAGGCTAAATATTGTGCTGGTAATTTGGGGGCAGAGTCACGGAGACTGCTGAGGTTCATCTACCGGGGACTGACCATTCAACCGCTCTGACTTCTAATGCTCGGATTCCAGTGACAAGCTCCAGTCTTTCTCGGTCATAAATCGATGGATCAGGACTATCTAAGATGGGCCTGAGCCATTCACATCTGGATCCAAACAGCTCCAAATGGGGGTGTGTTCTGGATCCAGGATTTCAGGTCAGGCCCTTCCTCGGACTTGATCCTGGCTCTCTAAAAGGACGGCTCCCACCCAGGCAGTTGTCCTACTCAGCCGCCTTGTCTGGTGGGGATGGCAGGAGACTCACTCCCGACTGTGTGGTAACCAGAAATACATCTCCCCTCCCTGCTCTTGCCAAAGTGCCCTTTCTTCGCTGAACACCACATCAGCCAGTCCACAAGCCAATGCAAAGGAAGGCGTTGCGCAGCCTTTTGCTCTTTGGAGCATGATGCCACCTCCTTGAATCTACAGGCCACACTGCTTGTGCCTGGGGTCGGGTAGGGAGGAGAGTGGGTGTCACCCAGCAGACCCGGGCCTCCTGGCTTCCTTTGTCAAGCTTCTCGGCTCGTCCTTGGCTCGTGTCACCCCGCCCCCACTCCTCCGCTTTACAAAAAGGTCTGGGAGGGTGGCGGCAGGGGCAGGGCCTCACATGATGGTGCAGCGGTTCCTACGCAGCGCCCCCTGGAAGCGGATGGTGGTGTGGACATGTTTGCAGCGGGCGCAGCCCACCGTCTTGAGCAGCTCACTGAAGAGTAGCAGGATGTGCCAGTTGTACTTGGCGGAGCACTCGATGTAGCCACACTTCCAGGTCTTCTTCACCAGGTTGGAGACGTTCCAGCGAGGGATCACCCGGCCCCGTTGCAGATCCCGCTTGTTGCCCACGATGATGATGGGGGCCTCTGTGGTGCCAATGACCCTGCAAAGAGGCAGGGCAGAGGGACAGTGGAGTAGCGGGGTGGGGCGTTGGTAACAGAAAACAAGAAACACATCACTTTCTTCCATGGCGTGAAGGCCACAGGCTGGGACTCTCCAGCCTGTCCCCCAGTGGCTCTTCCCTGCTTCCCCAACAACCTTCCAGTTTCCTGTGACAGCTCTTCTGCTTTCCACCAGCTTACCCCTACTCTCCCTCTATTTTACCTTCCCACGAGCATTTCTCTCTCCCGGGGATCCCCTCCCATCCTTTGCCTCCAGCCCCTCAGGTCCCAGTGGCAGAGGATGGCGACCCAGCACCTTCCTTGTGAAATGCAGGAGTGAGGGGGACAGACTGGCAGCTGCTGTCAGGCGATCAGAGGGAGCCTTGTTCTGCACGGAGGGGTATGTCGGAGTCTGTGCCACAAGCTGCCCTGTTACTCACCTGCCTTGTCGCGGCAGCGCAGCTACAGACATTGCTAAGAACCACAAAGCTGCTGTCCCGAGGACTAAACTTGGCCCCACTGTGGCTCTTAATGTGTCTGTGGCTGGGACCAGCAGCTCAGAGATTTCCCTTCCGAGCTGTTTGTGGCCCTTTGCCTTTCTATGATGCTTGAGTGAATTTTGTGTGGGTGAAAGGTGCCTCCTTCTAGCCTGCACCTATTGGAAGATTTCAGTCTCTACAGCCGTAAAGGGGACATGAGACTCCTGGAGAGCCCAGGAGCTCCTGTTTTTCCTCCCCAATCTATCCCTGGGGACGACACACCACTGAAAGCTGATTAACTTTGTGAGCAGGGCCCATTCCCCAGCTCAACTGGGCTCAGGCCAGGAGTAAGGCCGGCAATCACCTACCTCGTTTCCAGGATCTGCTGCCGAATAGTTTTGATGTACTCAAAGCTGTCAAAGCAACAGATATCATAGACTAGGATGTAGGCGTGGACACTCCGGAGCCCCCGGCAGCACGCGTCCGCCCACTCCTGTAACACACACACAGGGATTAGTCCAAACTCTGGCACAGACAGCCCCCTTGGCACTGCCCTCAGGGTGTCTCTCGGGCCTTTGGGTGACCAGGCCAGGCCTTCTGATACTGGGGTCCTGGACACTGCATCTCATGCAATGCCAGGCTTGCTTCTGTAAGTGTGGTGGGTGGGCACAGAACCCACCGTGCTCGTCTGTTTCTAGCATCCCTGGGCCTGCTGTATACAGTACCATGGGTCCAAGCCTGCAGGGACCATTGCTTTGGGATGGGTGATCTTATAGGCATAACGGGGGTATTCCCAGCCCGATTTCCCAAGAGTAGCCTCCGCACCCAGCTGGAATAAGTAGCAGGTAATTATAGCAGGCACAGGGGCAGGCAAAATACGGCTGTCTGAATACAGCGAGCAGCTCTCTGAACACAGCGAGCCCAGGGGAGAGGCTTTGCATGCTGCCCCCACCCCCAAGAATATCCTGCAAGTCCCATTGTCCAGTTTCCCTCCAATGACAACTGCCTGTTTACAGGAGGAGGCAGTGTGCAAAGTACCCGTCCCCTCTGGGCTCGCAGTGTTCAGAGTCAGCCAATGTGGCCCCTGCAGCCAGACGAGGGCACAGATAACAGGGACCCTGGCTGAGGAACCTGCTGGGATGCTGGCCAGGAGCTGCCCAAGTGTCTCCCAGCCAGAGTCTGTCTCTGGCACCACAGCCCCTCCTTCTAACCTTCTGCCCCCCTCCTGTATCCCTACCTCATGGAACCCAAAACCTCGATTACCCTGCACCTGCACCCCCTCTTCCAGGTCACAAACCCCTCCCGGACTTGCAGCCCAATACCCTACCAAATCCCTGCACCTTCTCCTGTTCCAGGACATAACCCCCTCCAAGACCCTGCATTCCCTCCTACGCTGCTCCCCGGTCACAACTCTGTCCTACACCCTGCACCACTTCCTCCACCCCAGTCCTTTGCCCCGGATCACAACCCCTCTCCTTCACCCAAACTCCCTCAGATCCCCCCCCACTTGCATCCTAATTCCTTACCCCAAGCTCCATTCCAGAGCCCTGTACCTCCTCCACTAATATTGTGGAAGAGTGCAGCCCTGGACCACTTACCAAATTCTTGGAGTGCCCCTGCATCAAAAATGATTGCCCATCCTTGATCTAGTGCTGGCGTGTCGAGTGATCTGGGATTTATTCCTGGCTATGTTGTTGACTGTGAGACAATGGGGCAGTCACCTAATTGCTGTGTGCCTGTGTTTCTTCTCCACCTGCCCCCTCAACCTCTTCTCAGCCCAGTCACTAACTTTCCTCCCCCTCTCCCTCTCTTTATCCTCTCAGTCTCCTCTGACTTCCACCCTTGCAAATAAAAGCATGCTCTAGCCCCAACAGGAATTAAATCAGGGAAGTCCTATGGCTGGTGTGACACAGGAGGTCAGACTAAACCCCATCAACAAAAACTGCCCTCACCAGCATCTCCAACTACCACACCTCCAGGCAATCTTGAGATCAGGGAACAGCATTGGGTGAAGTCCGCTTTCACCTCTAGAGGGTGGGTTCAAACCTGACTCAGAGAGTGATCCAAGTGGCTTATATTTGTGGGCTGTTTGTGATGGAGGTTGGGGGAAGGGGTGAGAAGCCGAGCACCTAAAAGTTTGTTCCCCCCAGTGGCCGGGCAATGTAGGGGACTTTTGCACGTGAAAGACCTCAGACGCCAGATCTGCTTAGTAAGCACTTTTCAACAGCACGAAATTCACCTGGCTTGCTAGATACTTGATGGTGCTCGTGATCTGTCCATGGTCCTGAATGAGCTTGTTTGCTAGATTTATAATGCTTGTCTCTGCCTAAGGAATTCACTGAATATTCTGCTCCATGAAGTTTTCCCCTCTGCTGAGCCAGGCGGTACACATTTTTTTAGAGCAGGAGAAGACATTCATTTGCTCTGACTCGATTTCAGACTGGCCATTCATCTCCCTCGCAGAATGACTGTGGGCCATAGAATCATAGAATAATAGGACTGGAAGGGACCTCGAGAGGTCATCGAGTCCAGCCTCCTGCCCTCAAGGCAGGACCAAGCTCCGTCTACACCATCCCTGACAGATGTCTATCTAACCTGTTTTAAATATCTCCAGAGAGGGAGATTCCACCACCTCCCTTGGCAATTTATTCCAATATTTGACAACCCTGACAGTTAGGAATTTTTTCCTAATGTCCAATCTAAACCTCCCCTGCTGCACTTTAAGCCCATTACTCCTTGTCCTGTCCTCAGTAACCAAGAGGTTTTCCACCCATACGTGGAATATATTTTTGTATGTGTACCAAGGCATGTACAGATGTGCACCACCCATAGAAACACATGCTGCTAGCTGTGGTCAGCTGGGTGGCACCTGAATCTCGCCTGGGTGGACGCCCAAGCACTCAGCTTACAGAGAACACTGGTATGGGGTAGGGCTGCAGGACTGGAACAGCAGAAGGAGCTATAGATCAAGACTGGTGGTGCTTGTGTGTGTGTGTGTGTGGGGGGGGGGAGAGAGAGTCTTCCAGGATTGGAAGGCCATAGATCAGCATGGGATGTACTAGTCGAGCCAAGGGGGTCCAGGATAACAGCAGAGGATGCTGCGAGTTAGGATTGAGATGCCCTAGCTAGCACAGTGTCAGTCCCTAGTTCCAGGGCTAGGTATTCCCCCTGCATCATCTAGTCTGCAGGGGGCTAGCTCTGACTGAGGGGCGAGGCATGTTACTTACACAGTTTAGGGTTATAAAATGTTACAAAAAGATGTGTGGGGAACAGATGGGCTGTGTCTACACTGGCATGAATTTCCGGAAATGCTTAAAACGGAATACTATTCCGTTTTCAGTTTTTCCAGAAAAGGAGCGTCTACATTGGCAGGCTGCTTTTCCGGAAAAGCCCTTTTTCCGGAAAAGCATCTGTGGCCAATGTAGACGCGCCTTTCTGGAAAAGAGCCCAGATCGTCATTTTCACGATTGGGGCTTTTTTCCGGAAAAGACTACTGGGCTGTCTACACTGGCCCTTTTCCGGAACAGTGTTCCGGAATAAGGACTTATGCCCGAGCGGGAGCAGCGTAGCTTTTCCGGAATAGCGGCTGATTTTGTACAGTAGAGCGTCGGTGCTTTTCCGGAAATTCAAGGGTCAGTGTAGACAACTCGCAGCTTATTCCAGAAAAGCGGCTGATTTTCCAGAACAAGTGGCCCAGTGTAGACACAGCCATGGAGCTTTTCAAGCACTTTCCGGACAGAACAGTCAGTGCGTTGTTCGTACTATGCCTTCCTTTTATGTTCTTAAACGCCACCGTTCAGTAGCAGCTAACGCTGCAGTGTATCAGGTCTCACTGAATGCTCTAAGCCCGGACATAAGCCCAGTGAAAAGGCAATGCTAGAAATACAGCGGCTGTCAAAGGATGGAAGAGATGCAAATCCCAGGAAACACACACAGGAGACGTGCCGTCTGCCTGTGGCAGTACACAAGAAGCCAATCCAAGGCAGAGCCACAAAGCTGTGGGGATTTGATCTCTGGCAGCCTGTAAGCCAACCAAATGGACACCCCAGGGACCTCTCCCAGCGTACCACAATTGCTAACAAAACCAGGAAACACGTACGTGTACATGGCAGCTGCCCTAAGGAATGAGGACAGGGTAGGAGTCCCTGATCCTATGGAAGTGGGGAGAGATTTTGGGGAGAGATTTAGGATTCCATATCATAGGGACACAAATTGAGTAGGACAGCTGTACATGCCGGCGAAACTGCAAAATTTCTTGAGACTTGACTATGGCATATAAACATACTAGGTGACCTCCTGAGGTTTCTTCCCAACCTAATCTTCTACGATTCTATGAAATTCTCTCCTCCCTTTTTTTGTTCTACAAGGCAGAAAGGTGTCAAGTATCAGAGGGGTCGCCGTGTTAGTCTGAATCTGCAAAAGCAGCCAGGAGTCCTGTGGCACCTTATAGACTAACTGAAGTGTAGGAGCATAAGCTTTCGTGGGCAAAGACCCACTTCGTCAGATGAATGTCACATGCATCTGACGAAGTGGGTCCTTGCCCACGAAAGCTTATGCTCCTACACTTCAGTTAGTCTATAAGGTGCCACAGGACTCCTGGCTGCTTTTGCAGATTCAGACTAACACAGCTACCCCTCTGATAGTATTGAAAGGGGCTTTTAAAAGAGGGGTTTTTTCTGACATTTGGCCTGTCTAGACCGAGCCAAGAAAAGATTTGGAGTGCATTTTGCGTACCTTTTTCCGACAAAAACTTGTAGTTTAGCTGTACCCTATGAAGGAACTATTGTAGCAAGACATTTTCCTACAATGAATCACCCCCTCTCAAGGTTATGGTATTTGGGAATAAAGCAAGCAAAAAGCCCTAGGAATGGAGGAAATGGCAAGGGACACTTTCTTGGATCTCTGCTTTGTAGGCCATAAAGGTTGGACTGAATCACTGAAATTAGCAAAGAAAGAAACCTGTTCAGTTCTGGGGCCACCTCCACCCCCCAGGCAGGGCATGAAAATGACAGGCTGATTCTTCACATGACTGTTCCCGAAGAGATAAAGACTAGTACAATGGCAGCGGATTAGACGTGGGTTAATATCTTTCTGAGAGAGTTCCGACATGCCTGAGAGATGAGTTTATTACTCTGTGAATATTGAGGCTGGGATGCCATTTGCTTGAATGCCATCGCGCAACTCATTTTCAGCATTGTCCACCAGGATTTTACCAGGGTGCTTTTATCTTCTATAGATTTCAAGTCTCTTTGTCTAATGACTCCTGCAGTTAAGCATTGTAATAAAATTATTGGCCATACAAAAAACCCAAGGAACAATGATTAGTTCATTAATGATCAGTTGCAGTTTGGAGTAGCTTATTGATTAAGCACTTGGGTTAGTTTAGACAGAGAGGCTATGTCTACACTGCAACACTATTTTGGGATACCAGAGTATCCTGAAATAGCTATCCCATGTCTTAACAGCAAGCCTGTTTTTTCAGGCTCACTATTC